ACGCTTCACAAAATTCCCGATATTTATAATTGTAAATGTTATTCATTCATTTTTAGCCTCTTAAACAAAAAAACCATTTTTCAAATTCCCCTTTTGTTTTCATTTTTTCCTTTTTCCCATCCACACCGAAACTCACCCCCTATACCTCCCATAGGATTTTGTACAAATACAAATGCAGAGCTGGATGCACTTTTGTAAAATAATTGATGTGTTTTTGTATCCAGCGATTACAGCTGGATACAAAGGGGGTAAACATGGCGGGACACCACCTCTTAGGGGCAGAACCAATCTCCCCTATACACCCCTTGTTTTCTTTATTCTTGGTCTTTTTGGATCTTTTTGGAATTCGACAGAAGCAGCTAGAGGACTTCGATCCGGAACGCTCTCCTCTACATTCATCCAGAACAAATTCGTCTCCCCCTTGTACGGCCTCAGTTCGTCTCCCACCAATTCTACCGGTCCTCTATCAGGTCTTTTTGATTGTAATGTTGTTCAACCTACTTATTTTTCTACCTAAGTTTAGATAAATATATTATTACAAAAACCACGCTTCGCGCTTTATCTTGCCTAGTCACAGCGACCCCGTAATACCTCACAACCATTCATCAAAAACATTTACTTAATTCGCCGGAAACTGTTTTGCATTTGTAGGTAGACGCTGTGAGTAAATTAGTCGACAACATACGAGGAACTGTGATTTCAGCTGGGGAATCTGTTTCTGAAAGTATACGATAGAGGATGCGCGAAAATGGTGAGCGTAAATGTGGCATTGTGCAGCGGACAGTTTGCCATGAGTGTTCTTCAAACATTTTTCATGTTTTATTATGTGAAAGTGTATTTGAACATATTCAAAATCGATGAGTTCTGGTTTGCCATCACCCAGGGCCTGTTTATTGTGTGGAATGCGCTCAACGATCCAATTTTCGGTTACGCACAGGTAATAATTTTAGCTTACAGCATACTGTATTTTTCGCAGGTAGCATACTGTATTTATAGCGAAAACGGCAAGAATCTAAGCACAAATACCGTACATAAATACTCCCAATAACTGCCCAACTTTTGTGAGTAATTATATGTTTAACACACATTGGATTAGTATACTCAGGACGAGCTACCACACTCTTAAAATCTCCTTATGCTATATTTGTAACATATGCCACAG